GAGTGCAGACGCAGAACAGGAAAGTCCGAGCCGAAGCTCTTCCTGAGCTGGAGACGAGCCTCGCGGATCCAGTCGATCAGCACCTCAGTGACCGCACCCTTGCTGCGCAAGGGGAGGACTGTGGTGTAACGCGAGTAGTCGTCAACCACCAACAGGAAGTATCGCTCGTAACCCTGCCCACGGACGGGGGCTGGGCCCCACACATCCATGTGAAGCGTCTGCAGGGGAGCCTCTGTCGGGGGGAAGTGGGAGGAGTGAGGAGTAGCCCGGAGGCGACCCTCGACACAGGGGACACAGGAAGGTCCTGGCCCGGAGGGGAGAGGAGGGAGAGACTGGGGAAGACCAGAGACAAGGACACGGGAAGCCATGCTCCGAAGACGGGGCAAGGAGGGGTGGCCAAGACGGTGGTGCCACAGGAGAGTCTCGTGAGACAGGAGGCGACAAGAACAGGGGGCAGACTCAGGACCTGACCGGGACGCAGCAGCAAGTACCTGACCCGACGCAGCCACCTGACCAGACGCAGGGACAGGAGGAGACTCAACGGTCAGGGTGTAGAGACTCGACCCCGGCCGACGCGAGAACGTTTCTTGGGCTGACGACCAGGCTACGCAGCGGTCGTCACAGGGTTACACCTTCAGCCTTGGTTCCGGCTCTGTCTCGTGGCGGTCTACTCGCTCGTCTTCGGTTCTCGGCTCCAGTTGTGAGGCTGAGATCTACGCCGGAGCCATGGCTGTACAGGAGCTTCGCTGGCTCACCTACCTGCTGACTGACCTTGGAGAGCCGCCTCGTTCTCCTCCAGTGCTGTACGTAGACAACAAGGCTATGCTGGCCTTGTGTCGAGAGCAGCGCTTGGAGCACAGAACGAAGCACATTGCTCTCCGCTACTTCCTTGCTCGTGAGTTGCAGCAGCGTGGTCAGTTGCGACTTGCGTACGTGGCCTCTGAGGCCAACACTGCTGATGTGTTCACCAAGGCACTTGCTCCTTGTGACCATCAGCGCTTCTGCACCCAGCTGGGTCTTGTGCCTGTCTTGCCTCACTTGCTCTCCTCTTGACTTTACTTGTACTGTGACATATATATATACCTGCTCTTGCTTGTCTAGTTTTATATATATATGTCTGTACTCTTGCTTGTGAACTGGCCTTTGGCCTTGCTCTTGTGCTCGGATTGTGTGGTGACTTTGTGATCCACCCTGAGCTTTGCTTTGTCTTGCTTGACTGGTCTTGTGACCCCTTGTTCTCCCCCACTTTGCCTATGGGGGTGTGTCAGAACATGTCTATAGCTTATACTGCTGTGTAGGCTGTAGTGGGGTATCCCATAGGGGGTACAACCCAGTTAGGGTTTCACATTTGTACTGCTTTCACTCATAGTTCACATCATTCCTGCTTACTCATTTCACACTGTACTGCTGCGATCTTCTTCGGGTCAGTCCTAATGCCTCTAGCGGATACGACGTGTCCTAGGAACTCGACCTCTGGAAGGAAGAACTCGCACTTCGACTGCTTAGCGTATAACTGCTTCCTCCGTAAGACCTCGAAGACCTTCTGCAAGTGCTGCACGTGCTCATCTTTCGTCTTAGAGAACACTAGGATGTCGTCTAGGTAAACGACAACGAACGACCCTAGGAACTCGGAGAGGACTGTGTTCATGAGCGTCTGAAACGTCGCTGGGGCGTTGGTCAATCCGAACGGTAGAACCCTAAACTCGTACAACCCCTGCTTCGTACGAAACGCCGTCTTGTGCTGGTCCTCTGGAACTACTCGAATCTGGTGGTAACCCGAACGAAGGTCGATCTTTGAGAAGACTCTAGCGCCCTGCACTGCATCGAGAAGATCCTCTACTCTCGGCACCGGGAATCTATTCTTGACGGTGGCGGCGTTCAGTGCGCGGTAATCTATGCACATCCGTAACCCTCCGTCTTTCTTGGGTGCGAAAAGTATCGGTGCGGCCCAAGGCGATCTAGATGGCTGTATGAAACCCTGTGCGAGAAAGTGCCTAACTTGCTGCGTCATCTCCTCTGTCTCCGCTGGACTCAACCTCCACTGCGGCTTCGCTACTGGCCTGCTCCCCGGCTCCAATTCTATTCGATGGTCTACTGCTCGGCTGGGAGGCAACCCTGGGGGCAACTCGTCGGGGAAGACGTCTGCGAACTCTGCTAACAGTGCACTCACCTCAGCAGGAAGAGTCGCCTTCTCACTAACTGCTGCTCTCCCTCCTTTCCCCTCCTCAGCTTCCACCTCCTCAAGAAAAACCGCGAAGATCCGTGCCGCACGCTTCACTAACTGTCGCACACGAACAGCATTAATGATAGCTGTGGATGATGTGGCCCCATCGCTCCACTGTGGCAGCCCCCGGAACTCCCCGTCTACCTTGACGCTGCAGCTTCCCTGAGCCCAATCGAACTGAGTACTAACCGTCCGTAGCCAATCTCTTCCGAAGATAAAATCGTATCCGTCCAGCGACGCAGAGTCGAAATCACGCCTGACTGTGATCGGTCCTAGCACTACGCGCAACTTGCGGATGATCGGTCCTATGTGAAGTGGCGTCCCATCTACCATGCGAGCGTCCTTGAAGTTGACTGCTGAATCTGCTTTGAGATGGAGACGAGAAACTAACGATGAAGAGACGAACGAGTGGCTAGCTCCGCTATCTACGAGAATCTTAACAGGAACTCCGCGAAGCTTCCCTAGAAGCACGACTGGACGATCAACAGTGTCTACCTCGTTCTCCGTAGATGACTGCTGCGAAGCCGTCTCCTCTACGTTGGTAGACGTGGCGGGTACGGGAACCTCCACACCAGCTAGCGACCCGCTATCTACTGGCGGTTTCCGTTTCCCTGCTGCCGCTCCTTAAGCTGTGGGCAGTCTCGCTTCATGTGTCCCGGCTTTTTGCAGTAGTGACAGTTCCCCCTAAATCCCATTTTCTGTGAGCCGTCACTGTTAACTGCACCAATCTCCATGGGCGATGGTCCGTCCCTCGATCGAGCGTCGTTGATCGGTCTGTTGTATCCCCTATCGCGATCGTCACGACCCCGTCGGCTTCGTACTGCGTCGACGCATTCTGCTGCTGCGACTACCGACTCGAAGGTGGACAACCCGTGAATCGCAATGACTTCCGCTATGTCCGGCTTCAACCCTTCGAGGTAGCGATCGCGCATCTCTGCTTCCGTGATATCGTCTATCTCGTTGCAGATGCTCAAGAACCGTCGTGTGTACTCCTGGACGTTGCCTATCTGTCGGAAATGACGCAGACGCTTCCTAGAAGCTTCGGAGGCGTTCACAAAATCGAACCTACTTTTCAGCGCCGCTTCAAATCCTTCCCATGTGGTCGGAACCGTGGTAACACCCAAAGCTAAACTCCCTAAGCTCGAAGTTGCAGCTGCATGCCCCACGCCCTGTTGATGCCCGTCCGTCTGAGCCCTTCTTACAGCAGTTTGAGTGAGTTGGCGCCACCACTCCAAGGCCGGGCCCCTTAGCAGTGTAACACCGTACTCGATCCGCTGCTGCGCGTCCGCCTCTTGCACCCCGCTCGCGGCGAAGTAGTTGTTCAGCATGAAGAGCCACGTCCGCACGTTCACGTCGCGTTGACTTGGGTCGAACGACTCGGGTTTCTGCGGCTTGAGTGCGCTTCGACGTTCCGGCAGCGCTTCCGCGCCAGTCGACGTGTTGGGCGCAAGAGTTGGTGTGGCATGACCATGGGGGTTAGAAGCCAATTCACGAAGCTGTTGCCTTTCAGCTCGTACCTGTCGATTTTCCAGCGTCAACTCTTGAAGTTGGCGCATGAGTTCGGCAAGCGTGTTGCCCATGTCGTGGGGGACTGCGTGCATGGTTTCGTCCATGTTCGCTCAACGACTCCAAGTCTGCAAGTCGGCACCGCAGGACGATGACGTCGTAGTCTCCTCGTCGACGGTCGCTCGTTGGAAGTCGCTCCCCGCGAAGGCTCTGATACCAAGTGTTAGGCCCGACGGCCTAAGTCCGCTAAAGAATTAGCGGGGTCGACTAAGTCGAGGATGAAACGCGGCGGAAGACTTTGACGAAAGAACTATTGGCGAAATAGGCGAAGAAGTTACTGAGTAATTGAAGAAGAGTTGAATGAGAATTGATTGATAATGGCAAGTACAAGCAAGGTTTATATAGCATGCAAGAAACAAGGTTGGAAAGTGGAATGTGGGACCAAGAATTGGAGTGCAAGAAAAGTAGAGTGCCACGTGGCACTAGAGAATCTGAGAAGATAAGGATAATGGTGACTAGGAATGTACTGTTCGGAATGAACAGTAAACACCCCTCTAACAGTGCGTGTGGTGGCGCTGGAATGTTCACCGTGGATTGCTGACGTGCGGAGTCACGTTCCGCCGTGAGCGTCGCAATTTCGAGCGCCGAATCTTCAAGTTGGCGCACCAGACGGTCAAGCTGCTCCTGCGTCAATGTGGCGAGCGTGAATTCGGCCATGGCGGGGGTGTCGGGCGAGCTCAGCGAGAGCCTCGGTCGTGGCCGTGCGTGCTTACGAGAGAGCACTACGAGCGGCGGTGCTGTGTCGCTGAGAGACGTCTACCCCCCCCAAAAAATTGAGATAGTGGGGAAGCGAAGGTGTGGGTGCGGTCCGAGAGGAGATCGTAGGCTCTGAATACCAAGTGTTACGAGTACAATTGAGTGAACGAACGAGAATTGCACTATCGAAGCAAGAGTACAATGAGCGAAGGATATATAGCGAAACTACAGTGGTAACGGTAATGGACTGTGGTTGTCGCGCGACGGGCCTGGGACTGTGGTTGGGAAAAAGTGTCGAAGCGGAGGCCCGGAGCGCGGGTTACCCGCCGAGCCGTGAGGTCGGGGTGCGAAGGTGGCGGGCGGATTGTCGGTGCGAGGGTCGCGAGTGGTAACGGCGCTGACTGTGGTGCTACAGTGATGTACACGTTGAGCAGGGATGCGAAGTAAGGAAAAGGAATTTTCCTTACAACGACATAACAAGTGTACACATTTGTTTTCATATATATGTAACAAATCAACCTCTAAACATATCATCTATTCTCTTCTGCTTCTTTTTCATTGGATCAGACCTGCCCTCGCCTCTCTCAATCTCTCGAGAACCATCCTTATTAACAGAACCCCGTCTTCTCTTCTGATTTGAATTACCTCCTACATCCACCCCATCACCACTAATGCCTTCTTTGGCATGTAATGTAGACTTTCTTGATACGGCACGATCATTTGATGTAGCAGGATCTGTTGTTGCGGTAACTGGCTGATTTCCTGATGTGCTCGCACCGCCGGCAGCCGCACGGTTTGCAGCGTAGGCTGCCCCCATTACATCTCGACACCGCTTACTGGCCTCCGCGTGGTCGACAACTGAGAGTGCAAGAGAGGTAAGGAATGCACAGAGATGCTTATAACTTAGTCGACTCAACACTCGACGCCGCTTACTTGCCTCCGCATGGTCGACAACTGGGTGCGGACAAGGGATGGAGAAAAGGAAAGTGTGAATAAAGACAATCAAATGCCATGACAAATTAAGAAACAAAGACCGGGCACAGGCGTGATCATAAGGGACAGGCCGTAAACCACGCAAATATGTTCCAAAAGAAGAGGAAAATAAGGACTTACAGGGAAGGAGGGAACCTAGTAGTGGAAAATGCTTGTGAATTAAATTCATTTCCATAACAACTCACTCGGACGAGGGAAGTCCTTCCCAATGATGCAGTTGGCCTTGCGTTGCACAGCCAGAGGTGCGGTCCATGGCTCGTAAATGTACTGCGACGGCATGTCTGGTGGGTGAGTGTGCAGGTGTTGGGGGGGCGAATGTGGGGTTGGCGGCGGAAAAGTTAGCGGACTCAGAAGTCACAGCCAGAGGTGCTGTCCATGGCTCGTAAATGTACTGCGAAGACATGTCTGGTGTCGTGAGCGTGGATGTAGTGGGAGGAGAGGTGGGGGGAAGTGGTTGAGTATACTCAAGATTCATTGCGGTGTCGTCCACGGCTCGTAAATGTATTACGAAGGCATGTCTGGCGGGCGCGTGTGCAGGTGGAAGGGGGGGCAGAGTAGCCAATGTGGTGCTCCTATGGCTTGTAGATGTGCTGCGACGGCATCTCTGGCGGGTGAATATGCAAGCACAACACGACCTTCACCACAATCAATAAAATGTTGCACTGGTAAGTGCTGAAGATTCTACCAAAAAAAAAAAAAAAAAAGATGAAACAGTATAAGCATGGGATAAACACCTTTGAGAACAGGCAGAAAACGGCGGATGATTTCCCCGAGGGGTCGTATTTCTTGCCAAAGGTGACGGGAGAGTAGATGCGGTGGTACTGGGAGTGCTTTGAGTCGACTCAGAACATACCTTTCAGAACATACCTTTCAGAACACACCTTTCAGAACACACCTTTCAGAACAGGCAGGAAGTGGCGGATGAATTTCCCCGAGGGGTCGTATTTCTTGCCAAAGGTGACAGGGGAGTAGATGCGGTGGTACTGGGAGAAGAAGGCAGAGGCGGAGAGCCAAAGCCAGTTGCCGTTGTTGATGGCCCAATCAGAGTCCACCAACAGCCGGTCGAACACGTCTCGCCCCAGCTCCCAGTGTACCAACTGACGTGTGAGGGGTTGGGAGAAGAGAGAGGGAGGGGGAAGAGAGAGGGAGGGGAAACAGGGTTTTGGTGGGTGTAGAGTAATTCACACCACAGCACAGCAGGCTGTCACACTGGTCCAGCCCAGATGGGTGATGGGGGAGTAGATGCGGTAATACCGGGAGAAGAAGGCGGACGCGGATACATCTTGGCTCAGCTCTCAATGCACCAACTGTGTCAATGCAGGGATGGGGAGGATGGAGTGGTTGGGAGGAGTGGAGCAGGGTGAGGGAGGGGAGAGCCACAGCCAGTTGCCGTTGTTGATGGCCAATCCCTATCCAACAAGAGCCGGTCGAATACATCTCGCCCCAGCTCTCAATGCACCAACTGTGTCAATGCGGGAGTGGGGAGAGGAGGGAGGGGTTGGAAGGAGTGGAGCAGGGTTTGGTTGGGGTATTGTGAGTCACCACAGCGCAGCAGCCAGTACCACACATCCTGCAAGGCAGTTGTGGGGGAGTAGATGCGGGGGTAGTGGGAGAAGAAGGCAGATGCGGAGAGCAGAGCCAGTCAGCGTTGTTGATGGCCCAATCCGCAGCTAATAGCAGGCGGTCAAACACGTGCCGACCCAGTTCCCAGTGCACCAAGTGCGCAGTGAGGTGATGACATCAAAGCGGATGGTGAAGGATATGGGAAGCGATGACATCAAAGCGTTTGGAAAATGGTTAAATTGGTGTCCAGGTGTCAGGCGTGCAATGTCCCGCCCAACACCCAGACACCAATTCTAGTTTTGAGGCGCCTCAAAACTAGTCCAGGTGTCAGGCGTGCAATGTCCCGCCTGACACCCGGACACCAATTTAACCACTTGCCAAACGCTTTGATGTCATCACTACCTATATCCTTCACCAGCTGCGCAATAAAAAAGATCCTGCCCCATCCCATATTGCACCAGCTGTGTGGTTGGATGGAGGTGGCGAAGAGGAGGGAGGGGCTGGGAGGAGTGGAGCAGGGTTTGGGTGGGTGTAGTGTGAGTTACCACACAGCAATCAGTCACACTAAGTCCAAATGGATGATGGGAGAATAAATGCAGTAGGATATAGTGGTTCATCGAACCAAAGCACCAGCTACGAGCACCAGCTACGAGCAACAACTGAAGCACAAATTAGACAAACTAACAGCAACAAGCACCAACCCCAGAGCAGAACCTACCAGGCACCAACCCCAGAGCAGAACCTACCAGATCGCCTCGAGTGAGGAAGCACGCGACGCAGTGGCGCGCCAGATGGTGCATCCACCCCCACTGGCGGAGCTGGGAAGCGGATGGGGTGGGGAAGAGAGGCAAAAAAGGGAGGAGTGAGTCCATTACAAGGCACCGGGTTCTGCCTGCATCAGGTTCTGCCTGCACCAGGTTCTGCCTGCATCAGGTTCTGCCTGCACCAGGTTCTGCCTGCACCAGGTTCTGCCTGCACCAGGTTCTGCCTGCACCAGGTTCTGCCTGCACCAGGTCTGCCTGCACCAGGTTCTGCCTGCACCAGTTACCACCTGCACCAGGTATTCTTACCTGCACCATGATAGCGTCGATCCAAGGGAAGCCGGTCCGGGCATCTCACCACGCAGCCAACAGCTCCGTGTCCACCTTCCAGGGAATCTACCTGCAGATGCTGCTGCCCTGCATGATGCTACCTGCATGCACCCGGTTCTGCCTGCACCAGTTACCACCTGAATTAGTTACCTGAACCATGATGGCATCGATCCAGGGGAAGCCGGTTTTCGCATCTCGCCACGCGACCAACAGCTCAGGATCTGCCTTCCAGGGAATCTGCCTGCAGATGCTGCTGCCTTGCATGCGATCAAAGTTGGGTGTGCCGTATGCTGCTGTGTAGAAGAATTCCCGCCACAGCAGCTGGTGTGGGGGGGGGGGGAGCAGGAAAAGGACAGGGACAAGGATGGGTGGGAGAGGGGGTAATTTGCCTGCAAATGCTGCTGCCCTGCATGCGGTCAAAGTTGGGTGTGCGTGCCGTATGCTGCCGTGCAGAGAAACTCCCACCACAACAGCTGGTGCGGGGGGAGTCAGGAACAAGGACCAGGATGCGTGGGGGAGTGGGGCAATGAGTGATTTAGCAGATGCTGCTGCCCTGCATGTGATCAAAGAGGGGCGTCGCGTGCCGTATGCTGCCGTGTAGAAGAACTCCCGCCACAACAGCTGTTGGAAGAATAGCGGGGGGAAGAATAACTTGTCGGTTGACTCAGAAGTCACAGTTGGGCGTGGCATACGCTGCCGTGCAGAATAGAAGAGCTCCCGCCACTGCAGCTGGTGCGGGGGTGTTGGAAAGGCAGATGCAGGGGGAGTAAGGTTCACGGGTGAGAAAGGGAGTGGGGCGATGAGATGACACTTGAGGTGCTTCAGCAAATGCTGCTGCCCTGCATACAGTCAGAGTGGGGTGTGCCATACGCTGCTGTGTGAAAGAAGGTGCTTTTTGAGTCGACTCAAAAGTCACCCTGCATATGGTCAGAGTGGGGCGTGCCATAAACTGCTGTGTAAAGAACTCAACAGCAGCTGGTGCAGGGACAGGCAAGGGTGAAAGCGAAGGGAGATGACTTTTGAGTCGGTACAAACGCCCTCTCATAAGAACCTGCTGCCTGCCCTGCATGCGATCGAAGGGGTTGCCAAGAATGCTGCCGTGCGGAAAAAATCCTGTCTCAAGACCCGGCCATCGCACACATGGCATCATTCCCATCCCAGTGTGGTGTGTTTTGAGGCGCCTCAAAACACACCTGAAAAATCCTGTCTCAAGACCCGGCCATCGCACACATGCCATCATTCCCATCCCATTATGTAGTACAGGCATGCCCCCTCTCTCACCTGTCCTATCAGGGACACCGGCGGCTTTGTGTGGCCGGGCTGTTTGGAAAGCACCTCCTGAATGCGAGCGTACATGAGACGCGAGGAGAGGCAGCCAAACTGGTGTTGGGGATGGGGTGGAAGTAGGGGACATAGGAGAAGAGAACGGGGTGAAGTGAGGGTTGGAAGTTTGGAAAGCACCTCCTGAATGCGAGCGTACATGAGGCGCGAGGAGAGGCAGCCAAACTGGTGCCCGGGATGGGGAAGGGCCGGGTTGGGTAGAAAGGGAGAAGAGAAGCGGGATCCAGGGTTGGAAGTTTGGGAAGCACCTCGCGAATGCGCGCATACATGAGGCGCGAGGAGAGGCAGCCAAACTGGGTGTAGCAGAGGTGGGCGGGGGGAAAGAGGATGGGGGAAAGACAGGGGAAAAGAGAATGGGAAGAAGAAACGGTTGGAATTGGCAGGAGGCACAACCTGGCAGTGAGCGTACATGAGAGACAAGAACGGAGGCAGCCAAAGTGGGTGTTAGAGACAGGAAACATTACCTTAAGGTAGGGAGAGAGAACCGTGGTGGCAGGTGGGTCGAGGGCGGAGGGATCGCCCTTGGGTTTCTCAAACTCTTTCACCCATTTCTGTGACACACACAGAGCAGCGGAGGTGGGTTGGATGACTTTGCTTGAATTGCAGTGATTCAGATCGGTCTTTGGCTTCTCAAACTCCTTCACAGAAATGGGCTCCCGTGAAAAAAGGAGTGTTTTGAGACGTCTAAAAACACTCCTTTTTTCACGTGGTTTTGAGACGTCTCAATGATTCAAAGCGGTCTTAGGCTTCTCAAACTCCTTCACAGAAATGGGCTCCCCCATTTCAGTGACACACACAGAGGATTGCGTAAAACAGGCAAGCAGCTAGTCTTTTTGAGACGTCTCAAAAACACCCTCTCTACACATAGAAATGGGCTCCCCGATTTCTGTGACACACACAGAGGAGTGCGTATAACAGGCAAGCAGCTAGTCTTGGCTCGAAGCACCTCACTCGCTCGCAGCTAATCTCTTTGCAGAAGACTTTTGAGTCCACTCAAAAGTCACCTCGAAAACACCTCACTCGCAGCTGATCCCTCTGCAGAAGACTAGTTTTGAGGCGCCTCAAAAGTATAACAGGCAAGCAGCTAGTCTTGGCTCGAAGCACCTCACTCAGTCGCGACTAATCAGTCACTCAGTCTAACACCTCACTCAGCACCCCGCAGAAGAATTTTGAGTCGACGATTCAGTAGTCACCTTGAAAGCACCTCACTCGCAGCCAATCCCTCTGCAGAAAACTAGTTTTGATTGAGGCGCCCCAAAAGTAAAACAGGCAAGCAGCTAGCCCCGGCTCAAAGCACCTCACACACTCGCAGCTAATCCCTCTGCAGAAAACTTTTGAGTCCACTCAAAAGTCACATCGAAAGCACCTCACTTGCGGCCAATCCCTCTGCAGAAGACTAGTTTTGAGGCGCCTCAAAAGTATAACAGGGAAGCAGCTAGCCTTGGCTCGAAAGGACCTCACTAGCAGCTAATCCCTCTGCAGAAAACTAGTGTTGAGGCGCCTCAAAAGTCACTTCAAAAGGACCTCACTAGCAGCTATTCCCTCTGCAGAAAACTAGGGTTGAGGCGCCTCAAAAGTCACCTCAAAAGGACCTCACTAGCAGCTAATCCCTCTGCAGAAAACTAGTGTTGAGGCGCTCAAAAGTCAACTCAGAAGGACCTCACTAGCAGCTAATCCCTCTGCAGAATACTAGTGTTGAGGCGCCTCAAAAGTCACCTCTAAAGGACCTCACTAGCAGCTAATCCCTCTGCAGAATATTTAAGCCAGAGCGGTCAAGGAAAGTGGACTGAGAAGGTATGGTGGTGTTCATAACTCTCTTTGAGGCCCGCCCGTAAAAACTAAACCCTGAAACGTCTTGGAAAGTTGCAGAAGAATGGTGGTGCTGTGCTGTGCATAGCATACCGTTCGTGAGAGGCAGTCGTCAAGTCTGCGTAGAGCCTCTGTCTCCCCACCTCTGAAAGGAGTGACGTCCTGTAGCAAGGGAGGAGGGACGGAGGGAGGGCGAACAGGGAGGGTGAGAAAGGAGGTGGAGAGAGGGGGGATTGATAACACCTTCCACTTATTCGCCCCCTTGCGCGACTTTGCTTCTCCAATAATAAAAACCTTCTTCCCCTCCCTTTCCCTCCATGGTCCATCCATCCCATGCCATCCCCAGCCAAATTATGTCTGGACTCGCCTCTTTTGGGAAAGCCTCTGCATCCGAGTAGCCAAGCTCGCTCAATGTAGGCACCGCTTCAAAGACCTCAATATAGTCATACTTCTGAGCTTCCTCTATTGCTTGTGCTGGATCTGGGTCCGTTTCTGCTTTTATTCCCTCTCCTGGTATAGTCACGCGATGAGCAAGGTGGGGTGGCACGGGCGGTAGTTTGTCTGGAGCGGGTCCAACGGGCGGTGAGGGTTGTCCTATTCGCTTGCAAAAGGCCTGGTAAGTGAGGGGCGGTTTGCCTCCGTTCTGATAGAGCACCAGGAGTGGGGGAGTGAGGTACGGGAGAAAAGAGGGGAGGAGAAAAAGGAGAATGTGACGAAGGGGAAATGGGAGAGATTGAGGGAGCGAAGGGAGGGGGAGGGAGGACGAGGGACAATGAAAACGAGGAGGCAGGAGAGCTTCTGGCTGTGATTACAGAGGGGAATGAAGGCAAGTTGTGTACACTTGATCGATCAGCTGACAAGGGTGTTGTTAGAGCCCAGTACTGTTAGCCAAGACGGGGTTTAGAAACAAACACCTTGTTGATAATTTCAGCTGGGTCAAAGATGGTGTGGCTGACTGGCGTTACCACCCGCACCGCAACCCTTTCAGAGAGGTCTCAAACATCAGAAAGAGACACCTTGTTGACAATTTCAGCTCGGTCTATTTTTCAGGCACATCGGCAATAAGCCAAGACAGAAACAAACACCTTGTTGATAATTTCAGCTGGGTCAAAGATGGTGTGGCTGACTGGCGTTACCACCCGCACCCCAGCTTCCTGCATGCTTGCCTGGACAAAAAGGGGATGACATGGGCAGGATGGTTTGGGTTAAAGTGTGAAACTGGGTGAGGGACGCAAGCAGGAGGGATGCAAGCAGCGGATGCAGGCAACGCGTGAAGGAAGGGGTTGATGGGAAAGGGAAAGGGTGTACTCATTCTGATGCCATGCATCCCATGCCATGCCATGCCATGCCATGCCATGCCATCCCATGCCATCCCATGCCATGCCATGCCATGCCATGCCACCCACCTTGATCTTGTCATCCCGAGCCAGGGCATATGGCTCGGTGTCGAACTCAAAGCACAGCGTCTTCGCTCCCCACTGTAAGAGGGTGAGAGGTGGGAAAAAGAAAATGAATATATATTATATATATTATATATATTATATATTATATATATATTAAAACTGAAACACCTCACAATAGATAACTTACAGAAAGTGCTCGTTGTCCTTCGCAGCTGCCTACCTGTTTTACCAGCTTCGGAATCACTATGGTGGGGTCGCCTTTAACGAGTATAAGCCGAGATCCCCGAGCCTTCAGCTGGCTGGAGAGGTGAGGGAGGGAGACAGAGGAGCAGGAGGCAAACCTTGGCGGGAAAGAAGCACGCGAACTTTCGCCTAAGACACATGATCAGAAATAAGCGCTCAAACGTTTTCAGTAGTGATCACCTGTCAAGGTCGTTCAGGCAGTCCAGCAGGAAGCGAATCCGGTTGATTCCCACGCGAGTGGACCCAGGGGAAGGAGCGGAGGGGTCGGGAGCCAGAAACCACGGGTCTAGGACGAACACTGGACAGAGCTGACGGATTGCTGACGTGGCATTTGAAGGTGGTTCGGCAGAATATAGGCTGCTGTTGCTGGCACTGCCAGGATCGAATTTGACTAAGGCGGTGTTGCTGCTGAGTATACTGCTTGTAACGGCGACAGGTTCGGGTTTAGTGCCATCGTTGGGTAACATTCCGCTCGCCTTCGCGAACCCGGTGCGAATCTTTCGTGAATCTGAACCTGGTTTGTTACTTTCGCCACCTAATTCGTTTCCGTTTTCGTCAAGTCCGCAAGCGGCGAGCAGAGCAGGGTTGTCGTGGAGTCGCAGACCCTTTCGAAACCACAAAATCGCGGCTTCCCCCTGAGGCGAACCCGACACGGTATCAATCGCCTTCGCCATGGCGAGTCGCTGAACTGCACTTTCCCCAGAAGCTTCTTGCGTCAGTGGGGCGATTCGAGACGAACTCGTACCATTGAACGGTTGTACGGCGATCAGGGTTCTAAACACGCCGGGCAGACGCGGGGGCGGGACAGCACGGCGGTTTGGAGGACGGAAGAATTTTTCGTTTCGGCCGGACGTGTATGTCGTGAGAGGGAAGCGCGGCGGGAAGCGGATAGAAGAAAGAGAGACGCGGGCCTGTCGATACGGCGAGAGAGAAAATGCTCCACAGGCAGTCTCGAAGTGCAACCACGCGAGGGATCTCATGTCCCAATTGTCATGCCCAATTGTTATGCTAGCCAGCAGAATTAGAAATCCACGCTTGTCGCTTGTTCCCGACGCTTGTGCGTTCAGTTGTCGGCTTACGAAGAAAAACAGTAAGTACCATCCGGAAACCAGGTGTACTGGGATGACGCCTCCTGGACGAATAACTCTCCAGGACACGCTTCCACTCGTGGAATCGTATGACTGAGGGATACCATCGAATTCGTGGAATCGTATGACTGAGGGATACCATCGCATTCGTGGAATCGTATGACTGAGGGATACCATCGAATTCGTGGAATCGTTTGCCAGAGGGAGGAGAGGAGAATAGGGATAGGCCATGCTGAAGCCACGATGATCTTGCTTTCACCACACACACAGCATGCAGTGCAAAATACAAGTCTACACTGTTGGGCTGTTGCCAAGAGTTCTGTGTCACTGTCAGTATTCAGGCATAATGAACGGTTTAGTGCGCTAACGTGACGACACCCCTCTGAAATGCGCAGCATCGTACTCAAGCCGTTGTTCGAGCAAAGCCGTGTTGAGCACAAAATACTGTCCCTCCCTCGAGATTGCATCGCATGTCAGATGTGCATTCTGTAACTAAACTGGTGTACGAGTGGTGATTGAGTGGTACGTTGAGAAACGGGATTGTTACTAGCGAGTAATCACCGGAAATGTTCCAACCGACCACTCTACATCTCGGATCGGTTTCAATTCGTGTCTTGGTTCCCACTTGAAGAGTCAGACTGTAGCGCAACAGTTTGTGTATTCGGGCAGGGCTTGAAGCTGCTTGACAGCGAACTTTGTTAGGTTCTTTTCACATTCCATGTATGGAATATTCCTTCAGCTAAGTTTCCAGAAAAGGGACCTTGAACGGTGAGTCGCAGAAAGTTCAGTGCAGGATGGACGGCACTTACATTCTATGGACCTACTGGTTGTAAAACTTCATACAAAATATTCGTTATGGACACGCTTGCAAAAGGAGGTCCACTGACAGATATTGCGAGAAACTTGGAAAGCATTTCTGTTGACTAAGGGCAGCCAAGCACGTGGAACGCTTGATTTTTTCCAGTCTTCTCTGCTGTTACAGTATGTACACTGGCATATGTTATACTGACCGGGACGCTTAGTGTAGCCGCAGCGGACCAAAGAAGGTCCTATCACATGCGTTATACTGACAGTTTGACCCAGGGCGTTTAGTCAAGGTTCTATACGTTCTAAAATGGTAATGCTGTTTTCTAAACGGTTAAGACAGTTATTCAGCGTTAATGGAATTTTACGGCCCAAGTCTGGTTTCGTCGCCTCGTGCGACTTGGCCCGCAACCGAGTTATCTCACCAGCCCGCTACGTCCAAACACTGTAGCCACTGCTTCCGCCGGTGAGAAGACTGAGAATGAGGGTGTAAAAGACTTCATATCCCGAACAGCATTCCTCTGCTCTCCACTGGCTATGGAAAGACTTCTATGCTATGGCTTCCCTGTCCTCCCAATCCCAATCCTTCCCATGATCCCATCCCATCCCAACTCTCAGGTTCCCTGTGAGTTCTGTTGTATAAACTGTACATGTTTCTCCATTCCTCCCATCATTACGCCTTCGAAAGCTCGGATCCACCCTGCTCCACCTTCACTTCATGCTCTGTCATTTGGAGCTTGCACGTGAAATAAAAAACAAATGTAAAAAAGCAAGTGCGACAAGAGGGAGAGTGGTGGTTGGAACAGCAAACATGCTGTAGTTTACTGAGGATAGCAGCAGTGCAACCGCATTTTCTTAGTTTCATGGCGACGAGGTTCCCAAGGCTTCACTCTGGACGTCGTATTTACTCGATAACTTATTTTTTGCCCGTTTGGGTCAATACTATCCCAGTCGGACTATAGCTGTCACGACAGGAGAATGCCAGAATGTCAAGACGACATCGACCTTCGCGGTCGCCGCAGGCTTGGTTCCTTCTGCTCCAGATAACGCTTGTCCTCCTCATTGCGTCGATTTGCAAGGCTGTCTCTTCTGACGTTCCTATCCGGCAGCAGCGAGAAGGGGTAAAGACGCGGAATGGTACCGTTCCGTCAAAGTTACCGTCCAAGAAGAACAATTTTCCGTCAGAGATAACGATAGGATGCCTCGTTCCGCTCGACACGGCCGACGGGGTTTCCTTCTTTTCCGGTGAGACGCGAGGACCGAACGCAGCTCGGCAGATTCAGGAACCAATGTAGTTTCGCAGTAGCAATGTCAGATTTAGTAACGACGGCGCTCATTGAGTCACGAGCTTTCTTTATTGGCCGCCGTCAAGGCATTATGCCGGCCGGGGTCAGAAGATCTACTCCATGACGTGCATTTCGGTGCATTTCCGGTTACCGGGTTACGCTTTCCGATCAGGTCCGATAGATCTTGTCGGCCGTAGGTTGATGAGACTGCGTCGTCGCGTGAACGTCGTTCCGGACCATCATATTCCGATTCGGACTTATCGAAATCATGAAGATTGTCAATCATAAGCTTAATTTATCGTGGCGTAAATTACGGGTATCTCGTCTTCAAGGTTCGAAATGGGACCTAGTAAGAGTCACCTACCCAAAATTCACTCACCCAAATGTAAACTATCATCCACGTGTCAGTCGTCGGACGACAGCTCTCGCACGGCACGTTAAGCCGCTGCTCCGACCGACGCTCATTTGCACAGGCTGCTTTGATTAGACGCTCTGTCGCGCTCAGCCGTTCGTTGATTCCTCCTTCCACCCCATCTCTCTCCTCCCCCCCCGTTTTCCACCCATCCCTCTCTCCCCTTTGGCTTCCACCCATCCCTCTCTCAGCCTGGCCTCCACCCATCCCTCTCTTTTCCAGATATGATGCCGAACGCTCACCGCCTTGAACCCCTTGCCACCCCTGTGCAGCCATTCAGCTGGCGGTTCATCATGTGAGCAACGATTCCTTGCTGCTGCCAGGCGTCAGGATTAAGCTGGTTGCAGCCAACTGCACCTAATCTTCACCTTTTGCCGTTCCCTTTGTGCATCCCCCCCCTCCCCTCCTCCCTTGTCGCCCTCTCACCGCCTTGAACCCCTTGCCATCCCTGTGCAGCCATTCAGCTGGCGGTTCATCATGTGAGCAACAATTCCTCGCTGCTGCCAGGCGTCAGGATCAAGCTGGTTGCAGCCAACTGCACATACACACCTTTCCCCGGCCAAATGGCAGGTGCGCAGAGCAGGGATAATCACACACACAAAAGTCAAGTCGACTCAGACGTCAAGTGAAGGAAACACAAAACTGAAAGAAAAATTCAAGAAGTAGGCAATGGTGGTATTATACATCAAGTCAATTCGACTCATAGCTCCCTCCTCCCTACCTCTTCCCCACCACGTCCAGCTGAGCAGCGTTTGATGCACTGCAAAATACTCTTCTTTTGAGTCTGAGTCGACTTTTGAGTCGACTCAAAAGCTCCCTCCTCCCCACCTCCTCCCCACCACGTCCAGCTAAGCCGTGCTGTTGAGCAGCCTTTGATGCACTGCAGAAAACTCTTCTTTTGAGCTTGCTTTTGGGTCGACTGTTGAGTCAACTCAGAAGCTCCCTCCTCCCCACCTCCTCCCCACCACGTCCAGCTAAGGCGTGCTGCTGAGCAGCCTTTGATCCACTGCAGAAAACACTTCCCCTTATTCTTGCGCTCAGATGAGAAACTCCTCCCCTCCTCTCCCCCCGTCCCCTCCCACACAGGCCTGCACCTGATGCTGGAGGAGAGGCCGATAGCCATCATCGGCCCCACCACGAGCAGCCAAGTAGCGCTGCTGAGCGGGCTGGCGGGCACAACGCGCATCCCCCTGCTCTCCTACTCCGCCACCGACCCCCTCCTCACCACCTCGCGCCAGTGGCCTTATTTCATGCGCACTGTTCCCAGCGACGCTACAAAAATGGAAGCAATCGCTGGTGAGTGTCGCTTCTACTGGGATGCAGCCCATGCCGCATGACAATAGTAGCGTGTGCTTGCAGCCCATGCCGCATGACAATAGTAGCGTGTGCTTGCAGCCCATGCCGCATGACAATAGTAGCGTGTGCTTGCAGCCCATGCCGCATGACAATAGTAGCGTGTGCTTGCAGCCCATGCTGCATGACAATAGTAGCGTGTGCTTGCAGCCCATGCCGCATGACAATAGTAGCGTGTGCTTGCAGCCCAGCCAGCCCCTTCTGGAGCCGCCAAGACCCCAGCCTCGCCAGTGGCCCTACTTCATCCGCGCACCGTCCCCAGTGACGCCACCAAGATGGAGGCACTCGCTGCTGAGACGGTCCTGCTGCAATGCAATGCTAAGCTGGGCTTGTTGGAACTGCCTGTGTGTGCGTGCTACCCCTTCTGCAGCCGCCACCAACCCCCTCCTCAATCACCAGCACCTCGCGCCAGTGGCCCTATTTCATGTGCACCGTGCCCAGTGACCCAGTGAACTGAGTTGTACGTTCGGATCTTAACCAATTTTTTCAAGGGTTACTTTTTTCACTAGTTGACTATCGTCCCTTTGCTAAAGACGACCTTGCCTACTGCTGCCCTTCTTCATGACCACAGATCCGTGAGCTTCTGCTTACTGTTCTGGAAACCCAAGCCCACCCCCTCAACACTTCACGCCAGTGGCCCTACTTCATGCGTACACCGTGCCTAGCCTATTGCCCCTACCAGCACTTCGTGACCCAAACACTCTGCCTTGCTTCCCTTCCTTACCCCAACCCCCCTCTCCGCCCCCACTCTCCCTCCCTCCCCCTTCCTGACCCAGTTGGTCATTCCTGTCGCTCCCAAACCTCCTGGCGCTCCCAAACCTCCTGGCGTTCCCAAACCTCCTGTCGCTCCCAAACCTCCTGTCGTTCCCAACCTCCTGTCGCTCCCTAACCTCCTGGCGCTGTACCGCTGCAAGCACTTCCTTGCCCAAACCCTCGGCCTCATCACTTCCTCTCCTCCCCCTTTTTTACCCCATCCCACCACTCATCCCCCCTCCCCTCGGCCATTCGTGTCGCTGCGCGCAGACCTGCTGGCGCTGTACCGTTACAAGCACTTTGTAGCCATATTCACAGACGACCGGTTTGGGCGGAACGGCATCAGCGTTCTCGAAAACATCCTGCAGAACCGATGGGTAGGCGAAGTCAGAGAGGGTAGGCGAGCCCAAGAGTGTGGGCGACCGATGGGCTGGCTGGCAATCAGATGGGTAGACAACGGATAGGTGGGTAGGACTGTGTGGGGTGATTTGATTACAGACGACCGGTTTGGGTGGATGGAACAGCATCAGCGTGCTCGAAATCATTCTGCAGAACTGCTGGGTGCGTATCCAACACGCATAAGTTTCTGAGGTACCTTGATCGAACCAAATGGGCGGGTGGAGCAGATGGGTGGAAAGGCATACCGGTAGGTGGGTAGGGGCTTGAAAGGCGTCCTACACGATTGGTGTTTACTGCACTCGCCTGTTCTCGTTTACGTGCCTTCCTATTCTCCTATCCTCTCATCTTCTCCTCCTCTCCGTCTCCTCTCTCCCCTATCTTTCTCTTCCCCCCATGCACACACAACAGGGCTGGCAGCACCTGATAGTGGCACGAGTGGCATTGAAGCGGGGGAGGGAGTATGACGACGCACGTTCCTCTCTGGAGCGGCTGAGACAACTCCCAATCCCTTTCTTTCCGTCTCTCCCCTCTCCCCTCTCCACCAGGGCTGGCAACACCCAGTGGTGGCGCGTGTGGCGTTGAAGCGGGGGAGGGAGTATGACGACGCGCGTTCCTCTCTGGAAAAGCTGCAGCAAGTGCGCACGTCAGTCATGATCATTCACGCGGGGGGCGACGGCCCTGACGCCGTGCTCAAAGCAGGTGCGCGCACGCTGGTATGCACACCACTGTATGCAGCTAGTGCGCACTTCAGTTATGATCATTCATGCATGCAGGGGGCGACGGCCCTGATGCCGTGCTCAAAGCAGGTGCGCGCTAAGCATAGAGTATGTTTATCCGCGACTATGTGTGGATCAGCACCGAGCCCACCTCCTTGACTTTTGAGTCGACTCAAAACGAGGTGACTTTTGAGTCGACTGAAAAGTCACCTCAAAGCAGGTGGGCGCAAAGCATAGAGTATGGTTATCCGCGACTATGTGTGGATCAGCAGCACCGAGCCCACCTCCTACTTCCGAACACACTCTCACTCACGTCACACCTAGCTATGCAACCCCTTGCCTCCCCCAAACCTTGCCTCCTCCAATCTCTTTCCCCCACCAGCGGTGGAGCTGGGAATGTTCAGCCGCGGCTACGTGTGGATCACCACGGAGCACACCTCTTCAATCACTCACCCCACACCTATCTTCCGTTACTCCCTCCTGCCTTCCCCGCCCTCCTTTCCCCCACCAGCGGTGGAGCTGGGAATGTTCAGCCGCGGCTACGTGTGGATCACCACGGAGCACACCTCTTCAATCACTCACCCCACACCTATCTTCCGTTACTCCCTCCTGCCTTCCCCGCCCTCCTTTCCCTCACCAGCGGTGGAGCTGGGAATGTTCAGCCGCGGCTACGTGTGGATCACCACGGAGCACACCTCTTCAATCACTCACCCCACACCTATCTTCCGTTACTCCCTCCTGCCTCCCCCCCCCTCCTTTCCTTCACCAGTGGTGGAGCTGGGAATGTTCAGCCGTGGCTACTTGTGGATCACCACGGAGCCCACCTCTTCCTTCTGCACACTAACTCCGCACTGCACCCTAACTACTTCCTCCCCCTACTCGCCCCATCCCTTCTCTTTCTTCCACCAGCGGTGGAGCTGGGAATGTTCAGCCGCGGCTATGTGTGGATCACCACGGAGCCCACCTCCCTCCAGTCCTTCACATACGATGGCGCCACCGCCTCCTTCATGCCGCAAGTGCAGGTGGGTGACATGAATAATATGTTTTGAATCGACTCAAAGCAACGCAAGTGCAGGTGGGTGACATGAATGATATGTTTTGAATCGACTCAGAGCAACGCAATTGCAGGTGGGTGACATGAATGATATGTTTTGAATCGACTCAGAGCAACGCAAGTGCAGGTGGGTGACATGAATGATATGTTTTGAATCGACTCAGAGCAACGCAAGTGCAGGTGGGTGACATGAATGATATGTTATGTTGCCCTCTTCCATGCGTCTTCCATGCGTCTTCCATGCCTCTTCCATGCCTCTTCCGTGCCTCTTCCGTGCCTCTTCCATGCCTCTTCCGTGCCTCTTCCGTGCCTCTTCCACGCCTCTTCCGTGCCTCTTCCGTGCCTCTTCCATGCCTCTTCCGTGCCTCTTGCGTGCCTCTTCCATGCCTCTTCCGTGCCTCTCTACCTATGAACGACCATTGAGCCAGCAGAATTTCCTCAAAAGCCCCAGCTCAAAAGTGGCAATAGTTCCGCTGCTCCCTTCATGCCCCAATTCCGCTCCTCCCTGGCAGGGCCTCATATCCATGGTGTCCTTTGTCCCGCTCAGCAGCTCTTGCTCTTACTCCTGCGTCCCGCCTCCTCTTGCGCACCTGTCTGTCTTCCCCCCACCCCACCTTCTCCTCCGTGGCAGGGCCTCATATCCATGGCGGCCTTTGTCCCGCCCTCAACCAGAGGCTCGTATTCTTGCCTTTCCCATTGTTCCCACTCTCCTGTCTTACCCCCCTTCCCCCCACCTTCTCCTCCCTGCCAGGGCCTCATATCCATGGCGTCTTTTGTCCCGCCCTCGCCTGCCCTCACGGTCTTTCGAGCAGAGTGGAAGGAGCACATGTCGGGGCAGGAGGGGCCTTCTTCTCCAAAGGTGAGTTATCCATGTTTCTCTGCATGTATTGCTGAGGAAATCACAAAAAGCTTTGGGGTGAAATAATCTCAAAGCAGAGAGGAAGGAGCACATGTCGGGGCAGGAGGGGCCCTCCTCTCCCAAGGTGAGTGTTGAGAGGTCTCAAGACATCGTTATAGTCACATGGCTTTTCACCCGTTCTTGTCAGGCGGATATGTATGTGTGCTAGCAGCATATATAATACTATCATGCTGCTGGCTCAATTCTCAACACATTGCCCTCATTTCACACGACTCTGTATCCACCCACCCTTCCTTCCACCCTTCCCTCCTCGCCTTCCCAGGCGGACGTGTATGCACTGGCAGCATACGACGCGCTGCTGCTGGTGGCTCAAGCGGTGCACAACAACGTGCTTTGTGGCTCTCAACCCAGTGCCCTCCTATGTATCCCCTCTTCCCCACCAACCCCTCCTCCTCCCTGCCTCCCCCAGGCGGACGTGTATTCACTGGCTGGCAGTATACGACGCGCTGCTGCGGGTGGCTCAGGCAGTGCACAACGTGCTGATGGCTCAACCCACCCTTTGCCCTCCTATGAATTCTTCCTTTGTTCCCTCCTCCTCTCACCACAGGCGGACGTGTATTCACTGGCAGCATACGACGCCCTGCTGCTGGTGGCTCAGGCGGTGCACAACGTGCTCTCAGGCGACGCCACCGATGGCGCCGACTCCCAGAACGCCCTGGTCGAGCCTGTGCCTCCCTCTCAAGGCCCAGGGGCTTATAACGAGGATGGGGCCAACAGTGGGAGTTTCCCAGGGGTGGAAAGTGGTGGTGTAGCTCGTGCTGCTGGTGCTGCCGGTGCTGAGGGGAATGGTAGCAGTAGCGACAGGAGCAGCGGTGGCGCTGCAGCAGGTTCTGTCCTCGTTAGTAACAGTTCCGCTGCTGTCCAGGAGCCTGGCACGTGGACTCATGTGCCCATGCCTGTGGTGGCGCCTGGTGATCCTGCCAGCTCGCTAATCCCGATTCTTTCTGGCGCAGCTCGGAGCAATTGTGAGTGGGTTCAGTGCGGTGTGAGTGGGTTGAGTGGCGTGTGAGTGGGGCTCATATGCCCATGCCTGTGGTGGCGCCTGTCGATCCTGCCAGCTCGCTTATCCCCCATTCTGTCTGGCGCAGCGCGGAGCAACTGTGAGTGTCCACGCGAAATGAGTGAGTTTTTGAGACGTCTCAAAAGAGCAATTGTGAGTGGCTTGAGTGCGATGTGATCGGCTTGAATGGGGCTTCGTCCTACCTCGTTCTCCTTCTTTTCCTTCTCCCCCTATTTTGACCAAGCCCCAATTGTACTCCCTTCCCACTCACCCTTCTCTCACCCACCACACGCACGCATAGCCTCTTAGTCACACCGGGCCCTGTTCCTTCACCTCTCATGCATACCTCATCCCAACCATCATCCCACCCACCCACGCACCCACCCATCCACCCACATTCTCACACCGCCCACCCATCCACCCACCCACCACCCTCCCCTCCCTCCTCAGTTGGGCCGCTGCTGCGGGATGCACTGCTCCAGGCGTCTGTGATGGGCGCCACAGGCAGGTGAGGGAGGGGCCTAAGGGTTGACTTTTGAGTCGACTTGACTTTTGAGTCGACTCAAAAGTCAACTCGCCACAGGCAGGTGAGGGAGGGGCCTAAGGGTTGACTTTTGAGTCGACTTGACTTTTGAGTCGACTCAAAAGTCAACTCGCCACAGGCAGGTGAGGGAGGGGCCTAAGGGTGGGTGAGCGCAAGCAAGGTGACTGTTTGACTTATTGACTCCGAAGCAAGCAAGTTGACTTTTGAGTCGACTCAAAAGTCAACTGGCAGGTGAGGGAGGGGCCTAAGGGTGAGCGCAAGCAAGGTGACTGTTTGACTTATTGACTCCGAAGCAAGCAAGTTGACTTTTGAGTCGACTCAAAAGTCAACTGGCAGGTGAGGGAGGGGCCTAAGGGTGAGCGCAAGCAAGGTGACTGTTTGACTTATTGACTCCGAAGCAAGCAGCCCTGTTTCCCTCAGTTGGGCCGCTGCTTCGGGATGCGCTGCTCCAGGCGTCTGTGATGGGCGCCACAGGCAGGTGAGTGGGTGAGGCAGGGTGAGGCAGGGTAAGGCAGGGTGAGGCAGGGTGAGGCAGGGTTAGGCAGGGTGAGGCAGGGTGAGGCAGGGTTAGGCAGGGTGAGGCAGGGTGAGGCAGGGTTAGGCAGGGTGAGGCAGGGTGAGGCAGGGTGAGGCAGGGTGAGGCAGGGTGAGGCAGGGTTAGGCAGGGTGAGGCAGGGTGAGGCAGGGTGAGGCAGGGTGAGGCAGGGAGAGGCAGGGTGAGGCAGGGTGAGGCAGGGTGAAGAACGTCTCAAAACCTGCCCCCCTTCCCCACCCACTGTGTGTGTGTGTGCATGGCACTGCAGGGTGCGGCTGACTCCGGAGGGCGACGTGAAGGACGGGTCGGTTCAGCTGCTGAATGTGCGGGGCAGCGAGTTCGTCACTGCTGGGTACTGGCGCCTGGGGAAGGGCTTCACCACCTCCGATGTGAGTCAGCGTAGCTGGTTGTATTGTAAGAGAGAGACTGTCTTTAGTTGACTCAAGAATCATCGGTGCATGATGTGAGGGGCAGCGAGTTCGTCACTGCGGGGTACTGGCGCCTGGGGAAGGGTTTCACCGTCTCAGATGTGAGTCAGCGCAGCTGGTTATTTATGAGCACGACTTTTTAGTCGACTCAAGAATCATCGGTTCAGGTGCTGAATGTGCGGGGCAGCGAGTTCGTCACTGCTGGGTACTGGCGCATGGGGAAGGGCTTCACCACCTCCGATGTGAGTCATCTATTGAGGCACTTTCCTTCTCTTCACCTATCTCCTCTCATCATTGCCCCTTCTCTCCCCTCCTGCCAGGCCCATTAGCGTAGCATCAGCAGTGCAGCAGGCCAACAGCTCTGGCTCTCTCAGCTGGCTCTTTCCCGTGCTGCATGTAGTTCTTGAGAATCTTAACAAAAGCACCAATTCCCACCGCCATGTGTCTCATCTCTTCATGCCCCCTTCTCTTCATGCCCCCTTTTCTTCATGCCCCATTTTCTCCTCCCTGCAGGACCCACTAGCCCCAGCAGTGCAGGCCAACAGCTCTACCACACTCAACCTGCTGTTTCCAGGCAATCTCGAAAAGGTCAGCCTGGGACTTTTTAGTGTTAGCACAGACTCAGGGGGGGCTTGCTTGGTGGACAGCAACGCTGGGTTGTGTGTTGACTTTTTAGGCGCCTCAAAAAGCAATACGATGACAGACAGCCATGCGATGACAATATGATGGGTGCTGGCACAAAGCCTGAAACTCCTCAGTGCTAAAGTCTGCTTTTGAGTCGACTCAAAAGTTAAGTCATCCCCTCTCCTCCACCCGCATCCCTCCATCCCTTACAGGCCCTTCAGGAGGGTGGCTAGCCCGACCACAGGACCCGCTGTGGATGCCAATCCTATGAGCCCATCCCTTCCTTTCTTTCTTCTGCCTCCCTTGCTCGCCTGATCCCTCCTTCATCTATCCCTCCTTCCCTATGTCTCCCCAGGCGCCCTCAGGGTGGCTGGCCCGCCAACAGGACCCGCTGCGGATCGCCGTGCCGAACAAGAAAGGCTACAACCAGTTTGTCGAGATCCTGCCGCCCACCGCCGCCCAGGGAAACGACCGCTTCACGGGGTTTTGTCTGGATCTGTTCCGGGCGGCAGTGGTGCGGCTGCCTTACGAGCTGTCGTACGAGTTTATGCAGTTTGGGGAGGGCGATGCCACCCCGAGTTACACCGAGATGGTCTATGCTGTTGCGAACAATGTGAGTGGGATACGCATGTGACACAGTGGTATGCACTGTTAAAGTGCAGTACACACTGCAGTTTGGGGAGGGCGATGCCACCCCGAGTTACACCGAGATGGTCTATGCTGTTGCCAATAATGTGAGTGGGATATGTATGCAGGATGCAGCATGAAAGTGTGTATGTATGTATAGCATACATGCATGCATGTAAGTTTGCTTGCAAGCTGTTGTATGTGTCTATGCAGTTTGGGGAGGGCGACGCCACTCCTCCCAGCTACACTGAGATGGTCTATGCTGTGGCCAACCATGTGAGTGGGATGCGCATGCAGGATGCAGCAGCATGCATGTGCGTACTTTAGTTTAGAGCGTGCACGTAAATGTTCACATGTGAGGTTCTGCAGTTTGGGGAGGGCGATGCCACTCCTCCCAGCTATACTGAGATGGTCTATGCTGTGGCCAACCATGTGAGTGGCATGCGCATGCATCATACGGTGGGGCCATTGGCGACATTGCTTTGCTCAACTTCCCCATCTTGTGTGTGCTGTTTGCATGTGTATGTGTCTGTGTGCTGTGTGCCTGTGTGCCTGTGTGCATGTGTGCATGTGTGGGTGCATGCACCACAGACGTACGACAGAGCCATTGGAGACATTGCTGTGCTCAATTTCCGCAGCGAAGCCGTCGATTTCACCGTTCCTACCCTGTGTGTGCCTGTGTGTTTTCCTGCGTGTGTGTGTGTATGTGTGCATGCACTGCAGACATACGATGGAGCCATTGGCGACATTGCTGTGCTCAATTTCCGCAGCGAGGCCGTCGATTTCACAGCCCCCATCCAGGTACGTTATCTCATCTCCCCATACGTCACCTCGTTCATTTTCCCCATCCAAGTTCGTTATCTCATGCTGCCTCATACTTTCGCGACTCGTCTCACTACCACGTTCTCACATCCGCACAGCATCGTGCACCCACATTGTCACTCTCTCATATAATCACTCTCTTAACCCTTGATTCTCCTACTGCCCCTCTCCTGCCCCTCTCCTGCCCCCCTCCTGCCCCTCTCCTGCCCCTCTCCTGCCCCTCCCCTGCCCCTCTACTGCCCCCTCTCCGGGAAAATGTGGCTGCTGCTCGCTTGCCTCATCGCATTCACTTCACCAGCCCCCTCCTGCCCTCCCCTGCTCCCTACTCCTCCCCCTCTCCTGCTTCCTCCTCCCCTTCCCCTCTTCCCATTCCCCTCCCCTTCCCCTATTCCTCTTCCCCTCTTCCCATTCCCCTCCCCTTCCCCTATTCATCTTCCCCTCTTCCCCTCTTCCCCTCTTCCCCACTTCCCTTCCACCCCACCCACCCACCGCGTCCGCTCTTCCACCCAATCAGCAATCAGGGCTGAGCCTGGTGTCCTACGTGGCACCAAACGACAACCCCTGGATCTCCTACCGCCCCTTCTCCTGGCAAATGTGGCTGCTACTAGCCTGTCTCATCGTGTTCACCGGCCTTGTGCTCTGCTTCCTGGAAAGTTCCCACCCCATGCACCTGCTGCGGCGGGAGTATGACCGGCCGCATCAAGAAGTCATGTCGTACATATGGTGGGTGCATGCATGTGATGGGTGGGTGTGAGGAGAGGACGTCTGGTGGGTGTGGTAAATATGGGAGGAGGAGGAGGAGGAGGAGGGGGAATGATGGGTGATTCATGGGAGGACATATGGTGTGTGTGAGGAGAGGGTTTCCTTTTTATCAGACTTTGCTGTAGTCAGCAGCATAGGAATTCGTATGTAGTAAGTTCCTACATGACCTGGATCAAGTTGCTTATGGTTTCCCTCCCTCTTTCGCTCTTTTTCTTTGCTGTAGTCAGCTGTACATATGACATCCTGTACTATAAACATTTGTAGTAACTTCCCCTACATGACCTGGCTCAAGTTATTTGTGCTTTCCCTTCCTCTTCTGCTCTCTGTTGGTGTGTGCGTATAGGATGTCCTTTGCTCCAGTTGGATTCGCAAAAGGTATGAATAAATAAGCCAGCCGTAACCAGCTGTCCGATTCGATCGAAACGCGCAATGCCGCTTCATGTGGCATCCACAATTTCCGCAGCACATTTTTGGAGAAAATTAGAACTTCGCGGTTTTTTTTTTTCTTCTTCTTCCAGTTTCCTAGCTCACCCTCACGAATGTCGTGTCGTCCCTAGTTCCTACCTACTTTGTCGTCCTCACTGCAGCTCTCATTCTCTCCTCCCTCCACCCACCCCTTCCACTTGCTATCAGTGAGGGGCATAGTCAAGACGTCTCTTGGCCGCTCATGATTGTCGTCTCCAGCTCCTACGTTACCGCCCTCACTGCAGCCCTCATTCTCCACTCCCCCACTTCTCTTCTCCTCCCTTATCCCCCCATCCCCGTCAACCTCCTCCCATATCCCCCTGCGACGATCAGTGAGGGGCATAGTCAAGACGTCTCTTGGTCGGATACTCACAGTCACCTGGTTTGCGCTCATGATTGTCGTCTCCAGCTCCTACATCGCCGCCCTCACTGCTGCTCTCGTTCTCCAAAAGCTGCAGCTCCCAGTATCCGTGCGTCCATGCTTTTCTTTCTTTTCTTCTTTCTCTTTTTTTCCCCCCCCCCCTCTAATTTTCTGAGCTGCGAAACAATTTAAAAGAAGCTGCGGCTCCCAACATATCTGTTTGTTCCACATGTCATTCCGAGTTTTGACACCCCTTTCTCTCTCCATTCTCTCCCTCTTGCTCCCTCACGCTACCCATCACACCCCCGCTTCCCCATCTCCCTCTCTCACGGAGCATCTATGAAGCAGCAGGGTCCCAGGTGATGGTGGGCTATCAGTACGGCTCCTTCGCTTCTGCCAGCATACACTCTCCTTTTTTTCTGCTTTTCTGCCTCGTTCCCTGTTTCCGACTGATCTTTCCAGAGCATATACGATGCAGCAGGGTCCGACGTAATGGTGGGCTATCAGTACGGCTCCTTCACTCACGCCAGTATACCCCCTCTCACTTTTCTCTTTCACCCTCTCTCCGTCTTTCTCTCCCCTTCTCCCTCACCCTTTCAGAGCATGTACGATGCGGCAGGGTCCGACGTAATGGTGGGCTATCAGTACGGCTCCTTCACTCACCCCAGTATACCCCCTCTCACTTTTCTCTTTCACCCTCTCTCCGTCTTTCTCTCCCCTTCTCCCTCGCCCTTTCAGAGCATATACGATGCAGCAGGGTCCGACGTAATTGTGGGCTATCAATACGGCTCCTTTGTCTACGGCTATCTCGTGCAGCTTGGGTTTTCTCCGGTACGATGTTTGAGTGGGTGTTAGATACGATTTATTTTTTAATCTTCTTGTTGACTCAAATCTCGTCCGCGGTGATGGTGGGCTATCAGTACGGCTCCTTTGTCTACGGCTATCTCGTGCAGCTTGGGTTTTCTCCGGTACGATGTTTGAGTGGGTGTTAGATACGATTTTTTTTTTTTTAATCTTCTTGTTGACTCAAATCTCGTCCGCAGTGATGGTGGGCTATCAGTACGGCTCTTTTGTTTACGGTTATCTCGTGCAGCTTGGTGTCTCTCCGGTACGGCCTGCCACCCACAGCACAGAAGAAAGTACCACTTTTGAGAATTCTCTAAGGTGGCATATCTATCTATCAGTGCGGCTCATTTGTCTACGTGCATCTCCCGTAGCTCGTGGTCCCTCCGGTACAGCCCTCCCACAACATATTGCAGCGAGTGTTTTTTGAGAATTCTCAAAAAACACTCTCTGGTACAGTTTTGAGGCGCCTCAAAACTGTACACTCTCTGGTACAGCCCTCCCACAACATCAGTTCAGCACATCATGTCCCCCTCCCTCTTGTCCCGCTCTCTCTTGTGTTCCTCTCTCCTGTCCCTTCTTCCGCAGTCCCGCCTAGTGCCGCTGAACAACGAGCAGGACTACTATGAGGCACTCTCATCTTGTCGCCCCCTGCATTTTTCTCACTCTGCCCTCGTATCTTCCCTCCTTCCCCTCCTGTTGTCTTGCCCTGCCCCTCTCCCACAGTCCCGACTAGTGCCGCTGAACGGCGAGCAGGAATACTATAAGGCACTCACATCCTTCTTTCCTCCCTTTTCTCCCTCCAATCTCCCTCACCCACAGTCCTGCCTAATGCCGCTGAACAGCGAGCAGGACTACTATAAGGCGCTCACATCCTTCTTTCCTCCCTTTTCTCTCTCCCATATCCCTCTCCCACAGTCCCGCCTAGTGCCGCTGAACAGCGAGCAGGACTACTATGAGGCACTCTCATCGCAGCGAGTGGCCATAAGAATGGGCGAGGACCCCTTACCGCAACGTCTCCCTCTCTCTCTTGCTCCACCCACCCTCCCACCCACCCTCATCCCCCACCCGCAGTCCCGCCTAGTGCCGTTGAACAGCGAGCAGGACTACTATGAGGCGCTCACTTCTCAGCGCGTGGCCCTGATAGTGGACGAGGACCCCTACCTGAACGTCTTTGCCTCGCAGTACTGCCAAGTGCTCCGCGCCTCGCAGGCCTTCAACGTCCTCAACTCCGCCTTTGTGAGCCCCTGGGGGGATCTAGGAGCACCTAGAGACAGCTAGGGGCCCTTGGGTACTAGAGCAGGCAGGGAGAGGCGGAGGGGCACTAGAGCAAGCAGCAAGGGGCGCTCTCGTCGCAGAAGGTGGCCCTGATAGTGGACAAGGACCCCTACCTGAACGTCTTTGCCTCGCAGTACTGCCAAGTGCTCCGCACCTCGCAGGCCTTCAACGTCCTCAACTCCGCCGTTGTGAGACAATGGGATGGGGGCGCTTGGGCACTTGGGGGCAATGCAGAGCACGTCAGGTACTACAAGGCAAAGCACCTCCCAGGCCTTCAACGTCCTCAACTCCGCCGTTGTGAGCTGCTGGGGGCACCTAGGGGCATCTAGGAGCATCTATGGGCTCTTGCGTGTATGGCAAAGCTCGTCTCATGCTTTCAACATCCTCAACTCCATATTCATGAGCTGCACCAAGGGGGGCACCGAGACTAGTAGGGGCACCTTGGCCACTGGGGGACTTGGGAACTTGGCTTCTTGGGTGGGTGAGCTTTGGGTGGTGCATGGGCATGAGGAGATTAACTCTACAACGGTAGTGAGCTAGACTATAGGGGTTGGCACGAACTACTAGAGGTGATCTTAGCTTTGCTTAGTTCCTTAGTGTTTGCACATTCACGGAAGGATTGGGCAAGAGTTTCCACTAGCAAAGTTGGAATTCCAGAATCAATCAAGAAGCAATGACAACAATGACTACATCAGGCACCTAGCAACCCTGCAGTTAGCCTGGTCGACCGCCAATGCAGCTCGGTCGACCGCCTGCCAGCATTGCGTAGAGGAGCCGCGCCAGCATTGCAGAAGGGCGACCTGCCAACAAAGCAGGTCGACGGCGTGCCCTGTAGAACACAGCAGTGTGCGCGCTCGCAGGTGTGCGCAGACGATTGGCCTGACTTGCCTCGTTGGGCATCCGTCGGCTGTTGTCTGCGTCTGACGAGCCACATCGACTTCGGGATACCAGCCCGAAGTCGCCTGCGCCATCGCGATCTTGACGACGTTCGCGTGCCTCAGCAGAACTCGTTGAGTAGGTTACCCAGTCGACCTGGTCGACCCCTGGTGCTCTGGTCGACTCCCAGGTGCCTCCCGTCGACCACTGGGTCCCTCTGGTCGACCACAGGGCGCTCCTGTTCGACCACACCTCCCGTCAAGCTACCCCTTGGTCGACGGACCCCTTCCGTCGACCAGAACTGCTCAGTCGACCTCCCGGTCGAACTGCAGTTCGACGGGACGCTCCGTTGACCTCCCGGTCGAGCTGCAGTTCGACGGGACGCTCCGTTGACCTCCCGGTCGAGCTGCAGCTCGACGGGATGCTCCATAGACCTCCCCGTCGAGCTGTAGGTCGACGGACTGCTTCGTCGACCTCCCGGACGGCTCACCCGTCGCCCAGGCCAGTCAGGTGCAGCTGTCGAGCATCCTGGTCGACAGCAACACCACAGCGGTCCGCTGCAGCTCGACGTAACCTGTCGAGCAGCTATCCCACTGTGGGCGGTCGGCTGCTACTACCGTACATCCGACCAAGTTGTCGGCGTTGCCCAAGCGAGGGCGGGGCCAACACTCCTTTCCCGTTAACAGGGCAAGCATCAAGAGACGCTCTCATCGCAGCAGGTGTATTTTGAGGCGCCTCAAAATGCACCTCACTACACGTGGTGAGCATTGGGTGGTGCATGCATAGGCAAGCATCAAGAGAAGCTCTCATCGCAGCAGGTGTATTTTGAGGCGCCTCAAAATGCACCTCTCTACACGTGGTGAGCATTGGGTGGTGCATGCATGGGCAAGCATCAAGAGACGCTCTCATCGCAGCGATGGCCAAAACAGTGGACGGGGACCCCTACCTCAGCGTCTTTGCCCCATAACAGTGGACAGGGACCCCTACCTCAGCGTCTTTGCCCCATAACAGTGGACGGGGACCCCTCAGCATCTTTGCCCCATAACAGTGGACGGGGACCCCTACCTCAGCGTCTTTGCCTCGCAGAACTGCCAAGTGAGTGGCGGCGCATGGGCAAACGCTGAGGTGGCGCATGCACTAGAGCTGACCTTTCCACCTTTTTTTCGCCCTCTCTGCCCCCATCAGGCACACCGGAGGGGTTGTCTCTCCTGCTTTTGAGTCGACTCAAAAGCACACCGGAGGGGTTCTCACTCCTGCTTTTGAGTCGACTCAAAAGCACACCGGAGGGGTTGTCTCTCCTGCTTTTGAGTCGACTCAAAAGCACACCGGAGGGGTTGTCTCTCCTGCTTTTGAGTCGACTCAAAAGCACACCGGAGGGGTTGTCTCTCCTGCTTTTGAGTCGACTCAAAAGCACACCGGAGGGGTTGTCTCTCCTGCTTTTGAGTCGACTCAAAAGCACACCGGAGGGGTTGTCTCTCCTGCTTTTGAGTCGACTCAAAAGCACACCGGAGGGGTTGTCTCTCCTGCTTTTGAGTCGACTCAAAAGCACACCGGAGGGGTTGTCTCTCCTGCTTTTGAGTCGACTCAAAAGCACACCGGAGGGGTTGTCTCTCCTGCTTTTGAGTCGACTCAAAAGCACACCGGAGGGGTTGTCTCACCTGCTTTTGAGTCGACTCAAAAGCACACCGGAGGGGTTCTCTCTCCTGCTTTTGAGTCGACTCAAAAGCACACCGGAGGGGTTGTCTCTCCTGCTTTTGAGTCGACTCAAAAGCACACCGGAGGGGTTGTCTCTCCTGCTTTTGAGTCGACTCAAAAGCACACCGGAGGGGTTGTCTCTCCTGCTTTTGAGTCGACTCAAAAGCACACCGGAGGGGTTGTCTCTCCTGCTTTTGAGTCGACTCAAAAGCACACCGGAGGGGTTGTCTCTCCTGCTTTTGAGTCGACTCAAAAGCACACCGGAGGGGTTGTCTCTCCTGCTTTTGAGTCGACTCAAAAGCACACCGGAGGGGTTGTCTCTCCTGCTTTTGAGTCGACTCAAAAGCACACCGGAGGGGTTCTCTCTCCTGCTTTTGAGTCGACTCAAAAGCACACCGGAGGGGTTGTCTCTCCTGCTTTTGAGTCGACTCAAAAGCACACCGGAGGGGTTGTCTCTCCTGCTGTTGAGTCGACTCAAAAGCACACCGGAGGGGTTCTCTCTCCTGCTTTTGAGTCGACTCAAAAGCACACCGGAGGGGTTCTCTCTCCTGCTTTTGAGTCGACTCAAAAGCACACCGGAGGGGTTGTCTCTCCTGCTTTTGAGTCGACTCAAAAGCACACCGGAGGGGTTGTCTCTCCTGCTTTTGAGTCGACTCAAAAGCACACCGGAGGGGTTGTCTCTCCTGCTTTTGAGTCGACTCAAAAGCACACCGGAGGGGTTGTCTCTCCTGCTTTTGAGTCGACTCAAAAGCACACCGGAGGGGTTGTCTCACCTGCTTTTGAGTCGACTCAAAAGCACACCGGAGGGGTTCTCTCTCCTGCTTTTGAGTCGACTCAAAAGCACACCGGAGGGGTTGTCTCTCCTGCTTTTGAGTCGACTCAAAAGCACACCGGAGGGGTTGTCTCTCCTGCTTTTGAGTCGACTCAAAAGCACACCGGAGGGGTTGTCTCTCCTGCTTTTGAGTCGACTCAAAAGCACACCGGAGGGGTTGTCTCTCCTGCTTTTGAGTCGACTCAAAAGCACACCGGAGGGGTTGTCTCACCTGCTTTTGAGTCGACTCAAAAGCACACCGGAGGGGTTCTCTCTCCTGCTTTTGAGTCGACTCAAAAGCACACCGGAGGGGTTCTCTCTCCTGCTTTTGAGTCGACTCAAAAGCACACCGGAGGGGTTCTCTCTCCTGCTTTTGAGTCGACTCAAAAGCACACCGGAGGGGTTGTCTCTCCTGCTTTTGAGTCGACTCAAAAGCACACCGGAGGGGTTCTCTCTCCTGCTTTTGAGTCGACTCAAAAGCACACCGGAGGGGTTCTCTCTCCTGCTTTTGAGTCGACTCAAAAGCACACCGGAGGGGTTCTCTCTCCTGCTTTTGAGTCGACTCAAAAGCACACCGGAGGGGTTGTCTCTCCTGCTTTTGAGTCGACTCAAAAGCACACCGGAGGGGTTCTCTCTCCTGCTTTTGAGTCGACTCAAAAGCACACCGGAGGGGTTGTCTCTCCTGCTTTTGAGTCGACTCAAAAGCACACCGGAGGGGTTCTCTCTCCTGCTTTTGAGTCGACTCAAAAGCACACCGGAGGGGTTGTCTCTCCTGCTTTTGAGTCGACTCAAAAGCACACCGGAGGGGTTGTCTCTCCTGCTTTTGAGTCGACTCAAAAGCACACCGGAGGGGTTCTCTCTCCTGCTTTTGAGTCGACTCAAAAGCACACCGGAGGGGTTCTCTCTCCTGCTTTTGAGTCGACTCAAAAGCACACCGGAGGGGTTCTCTCTCCTGCTTTTGAGTCGACTCAAAAGCACACCGGAGGGGTTGTCTCTCCTGCTTTTGAGTCGACTCAAAAGCACACCGGAGGGGTTGTCTCTCCTGCTTTTGAGTCGACTCAAAAGCACACCGGAGGGGTTGTCTCTCCTGCTTTTGAGTCGACTCAAAAGCACACCGGAGGGGTTGTCTCTCCTGCTTTTGAGTCGACTCAAAAGCACACCGGAGGGGTTGTCTCTCCTGCTTTTGAGTCGACTCAAAAGCACACCGGAGGGGTTCTCTCTCCTGCTTTTGAGTCGACTCAAAAGCACACCGGAGGGGTTCTCTCTCCTGCTTTTGAGTCGACTCAAAAGCACACCGGAGGGGTTGTCTCTCCTGCTTTTGAGTCGACTCAAAAGCACACCGGAGGGGTTGTCTCTCCTGCTGTTGAGTCGACTCAAAAGCACACCGGAGGGGTTCTCTCTCCTGCTTTTGAGTCGACTCAAAAGCACACCGGAGGGGTTCTCTCTCCTGCTTTTGAGTCGACTCAAAAGCACACCGGAGGGGTTGTCTCTCCTGCTTTTGAGTCGACTCAAAAGCACACCGGAGGGGTTGTCTCTCCTGCTTTTGAGTCGACTCAAAAGCACACCGGAGGGGTTGTCT